TTACTTGCTGGTACTTAGAAAAAGTTATAATTCTTATAATTTTCTTTTGTACTTTGTATAGAGCATCTAATCTACAAGGATAAATACTTGCCCATACAACATTACAATAACACAAGTATGGGTAAACCATAGCATTATATACAGTTTGTAATGTTCTTATAGATAAATAATGTCTTACTCTAACCATAATCCCACGTAGCTTTGATATCTTAGAAGTTACTTTAATAATATGATGCTTCCAAGACAGATCATGAGCAATAAGACTGGACATTTTATCCATCCATGATTATAACGGCGGAAAACGTTTTTCCAAGAAACAGATGTGTCCGAGGGAAATTTTCTTGGATATTTTTGAAGACAAATGGAGGCTGTGATGTTTGTTATTCTTCAAATGTACACAAAAGGTCACTCTAAGTTTACCCAGCTCTCTGTTACCAGTTCATCCTGTCAAAAGACAAATTAGTCTTATTGACCACAATTCTTTTGGCATAATTAGATGAACATTATTAATCTTTTCAGCAAGTCACCGTCCACTTAAAATTTGAGGAATTCAGACTTTTTTGTTTGTTTCAATGTCAAGCTCATGGGGGTGGGATTGCCCACTGGAATCTGATTGTGAGGTCTGTCCCCTGGGTGAGGATTTCGACTGTATGTAATGTCCCTAGGGTAGGGAATTTGACACGGTCACCATCTTGAAAGACCAATTTAAAGACCTATTTAACAATTAGATCATTTGATCTTGATTTCTATGAGGTGATAGCTGATAAGGCTGAAGGGGAGATCAATTATCATCACATGGAAATGTAGAGCAAGTAATCTAATTGGTGTGGAAGAATTGTAACTAAATGTTTCTCGGCATGCTTTAGAAGAATCACACAGACTGATTTGTTACAATATTATTTGAAACTTGCAGTCATGCACACATGTTCATCATTTCACTGAAATATATTGAGGTTTAAAGTTGCATAATAGTCAAATTACTTTTTTAGTGTTCTTGAGAATTTAATTATCCAGTACTTGATATTTCTAAATCTTCCTCAAATCATTGGAGAAACCAGAAAATGTTGTCATTGTGTGGATGATCTCCAGCCACTGATCAATAATGGCTGATAGTGCACAAGTAACTCAGCCAATCAGATTGTAGCATTTGCTGCATATATATATACTTGGTAAAATTCTACCAAAACTCGAAACATGAATGCCATCTCCTTGATCTTTGACATTATATGAAAAACAGCAACATTAATAATTATTTGTTTTATGGTGACAGTTTGCAGAAATGACTCAAATTTAAGGGTTTATTAATTATGTTGTTGGGTATAATTTAATGTTACAGGCTTGCCCAAGAGGAACTTTTACAGGAAGCAAAGAGAGCTAAATCAAGAGCAGAAGAGGTGGGTCCAATGGGATGGTAAGTACAACAAAACACTTCTTAGCTACTGCAGTTATCAATATTTTTTGTCCTGAAAAAAGTTGCTACAAGAAAGAAAATGAGGTGAAGAAATACAGAAGAACTTACGTTAAGACAGCGTTCTCAAAATTGGTCGCATATCTGCAGCTGCTGGGATTGGAATCCAGTGTTAAACAGTTTTGCCACTTTCTGTGAGGCTACTAAATTTGAAAATCTACTAGTTAACCTAGGATGTACCAGCCAAACTTATTTTTTTGTTATGCAATGCAATGTTATATTGCACCTTTCCCCCAAGGACAGAATTGTCCAAGAAAAATTGTTTTGTCTATGTCTATTAGTTCCTTGCATGTGATCTCTATCATCAGGGTTACTCAAGGGTTCTTTTTCACAGGTATTTTCATGAATGAGTCAATTAATGATCAAATAAAAGAGTATGTCATTTCCAATCATTTAACTCATAATTTTGTTTGTGTTCAAGGCAGAGGTGTCCTCTTCCAGTGACAAACAAGAGATTCCTTCGTAATGTGTTAGTTAGTACGCTGGAGCCAAGAAAAAAGAAACCCAAACAAGCAGGTATAATCATGACCCAAAGTTATGCATGCCCATCAGCCCTCAAAATAATTTTCGGAAAGTTGCTGGTCACATTGACAGGCTAAACAAATTGACAGACAATGCAAGTTCATGTGCATCTGAAATGTATTCTTCTATAATTTTCATTCATTGTGCCATTTTTTCTGGTAGCTTCTATTTGTTCTTGGTAATGACATACATCATTCAATATACATCATTCATGTAACCTTGGATCAAAGATTCTTGTAGCTGCTATGTTGTTATCACTTTGCTTGTGTTTGTATTTGGAATCTTCAATGAAGTGTTTTATATTATTTTCTCATAGGTACAGAACCCTGTAAAACCAAGGAAAAAGCAACAAACCGTAAACCAGTTCACAAGGACAGTCACCGCAAGAATACATCCAAACACCGAAACAAGTCTGACAAAGATAGACACAAACATCACAAACACAAGTCCAAGCATAAACATACCAATCCATGAAGCTATAAACTGAACTACTCAAGGTACTTTGGAGTTCTTTCTTTGGACTACACACCAACCATTTACATTTATGTTACAGTTTAAAGAATTTAAGTACATGAATATAAGCAGCAAAACATGGTTCAAAATCCATACAAACGTCTCTAATGTTGAGACAGCGTCCCCCAAAACCATATTAACTCTTAAAATTTTTTATCAGTTTTGTAACAACTACAGGTAAGATTCCATTATTCACCTACCACTTGAAAGAAACTGAGATGAAAATCACATATATTTGCCCAATTTAAGAGTATCACAAAAATCATAAAAATTTTCATGTGGTGTCAGTTTATCGATTGGTTAAAACTTGAAACTCACCCCAGTTCCCCGTGCAGTTTCGGAATAGCCTATCATCTGTCATCTATACATAACAGATATTCTGAAATATATATATATGTAGTTTGCCAAGACTTTTGAGGCTCTGTTGTAGAAATTTGTAATAACATTTTTTTCAAAATTTACCTGTTTGACTCTACCTCAAAATTTCATTAGGAAGTGGCTTGATTAAACATAATTCATGCAAAATGAAATTAAAATTTGCAAGACAGGTCTTGAGTTATTTTTGAAACTGGCAACTTGTCACATCTTCTAAGTTTAATGAAAAATACTTAAATGATGTACTTTCTTTGAATTACAACTGAAGGAGAACCATTTGTTTACCTAAGGGGGACAGGTCTAAAACGAGGTTGAGGGGTGAGAGATGGGGAACTTATGTGAGGGGCTAGGGTTGTTAACATTATCACCATTGAGAGCTAACTGCAAACAGGCTAACCTAAGCATTTTTCAGGGTAACTGCAGTGCTCTTCAGGCTAAACAGAGTGCTATTCACCCCCCTCTTTTCACCCCTTGCCTCCATTTTAGACTTGCACTTTATGGCTACCCCTAATCATGGGTAGAAGTGGTCAAAACCATAACACTGTACAGACATAACATAATGGCCATCTTGTATTATAATCTAACATAATCGCACATGTAATATATTAACTTGAAACTAGAGTCACTGAATTTATGTCTTTTAAAAAGAATAGAGAAATTTGTAGAGTTGTCAATGGCTAGAAAATAATAAAACTTTCAACTTTCTGGGTTTTTTACTGTCTTACTGCGGCCTTCTGCAGTTAAAATGGTGTTCTGTCATAAAAAAAATCTATAAATAGCAGCAGATCGTCCAAGCTCACAGTAAGTCTGAGGACACAGAGTTGACTCTTGTTTGTGAGAAGTATTGTTTTCCAAAGACTTGATAATTGGTTTGAAAAGGAATGGAACAATTTTGTTATAAAAAGTATGAAATGAAATGTTTAGTGAATAAAATAGGCATGTCTTGTTGCTGTGTTGTAGTATTTGTTGTTTGCCATTTTCTCAGGGCATTTCAATGTGATTTTGGCAAGCTAGTGATATTTGGGATTCCACTACTCTCTAAATACTTATCTTTCTCTAAAGACAGACAGGTCTGTCTCTATGGATAAGAATCTGTCTTAAAGTTTACAGATGCTACAGATTCTTTCTGATTGCAACAGTTTGTTAGTGATTGTTAGTCACATGGATTTTAGTTTCTCTTTATTTATTGTTACTGATATTTACTGATTGTTATGGCTCGTTGTGTGACTGTTGTACTTCTTCTAACAAGCCAGTGCTTTGCTTCAAATTGCCCCAGACTAAAAACAGCATTACACTCTGTAAATTAAAAGAAAGTTGTTTTTATTCTAAAAATTCTTTATAAAGTATATTTGTTGCATAAAATTTACCAAACAAAGTCAGCATCTATATTTTGCCAATTTTGTGTTGGCCATTTTTACAGTGCAGGCTTTGGCTGTGCCTGTGCCAATGACTTCCCTGATAACGGTACAGTGGAATCTACTTAACAAAAACACTGAATGGTAGATCAGTGTCTGTAATGAGAATGGTGTGCTTGTTACACAGCTCACTGGTACACTGGTATGGCATTATTTCCAAGGGACTTGGAGCCTGGTGATAGATTATCAACTCGGAATTTTACCTAGTAAATGGTTTTGACTTCATGGAAATGGCCACTTTCATCAAAAGAGAAAGAAAAGCTCATAATGAACTGTTTATTGATGGTTTCTTTTTTCCCTTCAACTTCAACCAATGCTCTGGTTTCTTCAATGAACACTGGAGAGCCCACTAGAGATAATATCTCTCTACCAAATTGTCTCCAGTCTCCAGTTTCCTTGGTTATGAAACTGTGTACAGTTTATACCAGCTCTCTCCTCATGGAAATATCCGGCTTCTTTTTAAATGTTCAACTTCTTTAACAGATATTCACACATTAGAAATGTGGTTTGTGAGAACCAAGTACAAAGTCAACATAATGAGGTTCTGCAACAAGAAAAACAACTGTCAAAAAACTCAAAGTCAATTACCAGTAGTCTGATTAAACCACTACCAAGCAAGTGTTACAAACAGTTGGCATAATGGAAGTACTGCAACAAAGTAAAAGATTACGGAAGCTACCACCTCACCATTGTCTGGTGTAATAAGGCCATGGCGAATCATAAAGTCAAGCACAACAAGAGCACAGTTTGGTTTAAATTCATCCGTTGCCATTTTCTCTTTCACCTGTTACAAAGAAAAATAAAAATATTCAAGTTATCAGACAGGGCAGAACAATTTTTTTTCTTATAAGGAGTAATTTCCGCTGTAGGAACAGCCTGTAGACATAGGTAAAATTAATATTCTGTGATACAGATTCAAACAACACACCTTGTCCATTGACCAGCAATAAAATTCACCAACTTCCCCGTCACTGTTCACTGGTTGAAAGTCGCGAGACAGTTTTAAGTCACAAACAAACTGCACTTCTGGAAATAAGCCTCTCTCATCTTCAAAGAAGTAACTGGTGAGTAACAAAGGAAAGAAAACAAAAAATATAGACGGATATTAAGATGAGATTTCTATTGTTGGCATTCCATGAAATTGTACCAAAAATATCCATTAGTGATGCTAAATGGAGGCCTATAAATTGGGATACAAGAAAAAGTGTAATAATAATTCATTGGTAATTTCACTTGATCCTGAAGATGACCTCTGCTCAGGTTGTCAGCGTGTCAATCACCACCAACAACACTCAGTTTCAGGACTGCCCTCACCCAGATACACTTGTTTAGCATAGGAGAAACTATTGTGGCCCTGCAAGCTAAGTGCATATGCAGGTGGAGAGCAGTACCTAACACATCCAGCTGATGTAGCTGTCCTAGCGAGCTCCTCTGGTATAGATGCCTCTTCTGCACACTCTCTTATCAGTGTCTCCTGAATTCCTTCCCCGCAGATCATGCCACCAGCCACCTAAAGTCAGAGATTATGTGTATATTAGTGCACATAAAGAAAAACAAAACAAAGCCCCATTAATGGCACGTTGAATTGGAGTTTGTCAGAATAAGTTAAAGTAAATTTAATTACCAGTATTTCCCTTTTCACTGTCAGTTTCAGTTAAAGGAAACAAAAACTGCTAGGTGTTGTGTCAGTTGTGACATAATTCTATAATTGCTATTACCAAAACTGAGAATGGATGTGGGTCATCCAAATTATGAAAATTTCAAAACTGTCTGTATTAGCATGGTCAGTTATGGTTATTTAACAGAAACATAGAGCTTTCCCTAAGGTAATTTCCTTAATTCTGGTTTGATACTATTCTGCATGCTAGTAACAGAAGATTAAGACAGTAAGTAATTAATTCTTCAACTAATAAAATGGATGATACAGCCTTAATCAGAATGTCCACATTGTCCTGTTTTAACACACAAAGGGACAAGAGCAAAGAACACTCACCTGCATTTTCTCTACACTTGTTTCATGCTCTCTTCACTTCCTTGTGTACTTTACAACAGAACAAAACAATACGTTAGGGGTTATGTACTTGGTATAAAGCAGGCAAGAAAGTGATAAGAGCAGAACGAAATGTAGAGTATGACAAGAATTTAGTCCCATGGTTTTTATTAGGTTCCCTTGCACTTTTTTTCTATCCTTTAATATATACATGTAAATTGTAGTTTTGTATCCTCATTGTAATCTTGTATTAATATTAATTTTTGTCATTTCTTAATCATTGTACTCTAATTCTATTTTTGTTTGTATAGCAAATCAAAAAATAATAATAATAAATAAATGTACATGAACTTTTTGAGTACTCCTTTAAATTTAAACCCCCTGTACAGAGGTTCTATTTATCAATTTATAACAGAACAGGTCACAGGATCTTTTCCTCAGCTGTGCTCATTTTAGTGAGATCTTAAATCATACTTTGTGGGGGCAGAAGGCTGAAAGGTCCACTCAAATTTAACACTATTGCAATCCTGGGACAAGATCTCTTAAATTTGTCCATCCGCATCAGTAGTTAACATGACTATGATTATTTGATACCAGCATTATTCATTATTGTACATTCATTATTTCATAGGAACAACTAGAACTCACAGTGGAATCAAGTCACTCGGCCTACACCACAATTTCTTTGTTCCCACTGAATAGAATTTTGCACTTTTTTTGCAATTCCTTATTAGCTACAGTCGAACCCCAATTATCCGGACTCATTGGGACCAGACAAAATAGTCCGGATAATTGAGGGTCCAGATAATCGAAAATATGAATATTAATGAAGAACAAAACTATTTAAATAAAGCAACATTTAATCATGAAACAACACTTTTACAAATCGCTTGGAAAACAATATAGTTTACTGTACATCTTGAACCACTCAACTGTGAACCAATCAGAACTCGTTCGAGTGTTCTTCATTAGTTACGGCGCATGCGAGCGCTGCTTTTAAAAGCAAAACAAACTTGCTTTTGACTGCGCTGTTCAGTGCTATAGTTTTAAGAAGAATATTGCTACGGATCTTGATCATGACTAATAAATATTCATGCCAAAATTGGGACTAGAGAAAAAGTCCGGATAATCGAGGTACGGATAATCGAGGTTCGACTGTAGTATACATAATTGCAAAGAGTTAAGTTCTCTTAGTCTACACTTCTAATGACTTCATCTTACAATTTGATCCAGTTTGCCTGGCCAGGTTTGTTTGGTAGGACTTCTTCTCGCCAACCACATATATATGTTTCCGCTTTCATCTGTGTAATAACCATTTACATGAACACCATACCGCACAGTCCCTAACAGGCCTGACAAGAACAGACAAGCAAAGAATAAATTAATAAAATTATTCAGTATAAGTAGTATTTACTGCAAAGCTCCAAACAGCAAGGATCTGTTCAGAATAGCTAAGAAAATGTAAATGACTTTATAGACATGTGACCAGTATAATTTGTTAAAATAAATGATCTAATCTTGGCATTAATCTCCAGCAGAGCATCTGAACAGTGTGTGGAAGGCAACAAGTTTGACTTCGATCAGGGACACTAAATACTTTCTTTGTAGCTGCTTGTCCAGGACAAAATTTTCACTTTGAATTCATAGAATTAAATGACTGTCATAATGACATAGTAGTAACATCTACAACCAAATCATGAAAACTTTCTACTTCAGAGAGAGAGAAAAAAAATTTTCATGACAGTTGACTCACAGGTGGCTGATCTCTCCATCATAAAATATGGTTTGCTGTCAAATGAAGGCATGACAGGATACATCTTGAAAATAAAACCACTTTAAGTTAGACCAATATAACATGAAACCTGAGAGCATTTTATTTCAAAAGGGTCTACCCAACTGCAGAAGGCGCGATGGCACCATGGTTAGTGCRCTCGTTTCCAGGTCAAGCGGTCCGGGTTCAAGCCCTGGCCGGGGACATTGTGTTGTGTTCTTGGGCAAGACACTTTACTCTCGCAGTGCCTCTCTCCACCCAGGTGTATAAATGGGTACCAGTGAACTTTATGCTGGGGGTAACCCTGCAATGGACTAGCATCCCATCCAGGGGAGAGTAGAAATACTCCTAGTCACTTCATGCTACAGAAACCGGGATAAGCTTCGGCCTGGTGGGCCACTTGGCTCATATGCAGCCTTAACCTTACCTACCCTACTCAGCTGCTGCTGCTGGTGGATAGAGATAAACAGAAAGATTAAACTAGGATCTTAGTCATGCATTATCATGTACTTAAACTGTGCACAGAATTTCCTATGCATAAGGTTCAGTTGCAAATGAATGTAACTCAGTGATAACGTACAAATCATAACAGTACTGGACTTGCCTACTAATTTCTTGTCTTAAGTCACACACAGTTAATAGAAACATAACATTGTCTGACTGAGTTGACTAGGAGATACCAAGTTCATTACATCTAATCTTGCTACCATGCCAACATAAAGTATGTTAACTTAGTGAATGTCCAAACTATCAACAACCCTCCACAAACTAGTTAAGCCAAATTGAAAAGATGTACCCACATTTTTATACTGACTAGAATCCACAACATTATAATTTACATGTCAATGGTGGTTTTCCTCTGTTGTTTTGGACCACACAAGAATTGTATCCATTGGTTTTTATAACACTTAAAATATTTCTTTGGCAAAAAGAAAGTACAAAATGTGTATGTGATCGCAAATTGGAAGTTTTTTTTAAGTGTGCATCATGTACATGACTGTATACAGTGGTAACATAATTCTGTTAACACAAATTTCAACTTGCCTCATTTCTCCATCCCTTTAAAGTACTAAACACATCCTTAAGTCTCAGATCTTCCATGACCTCAGCAATTTTTTGGGTTCTTTCTGTGAAATTCTTAAGTTCTAGAGTCAAAGTAACATGTCTAATTTCACCATCATTTCCTTTAACCATCACAAACACATCACTATAAGAGCTAATGAAGCTGGAAATTTGTGGTGAAATGTAACCCACTTGGATGCCATCAACAAGGAAAGGCTTGCAAGATAACTTGGAGGAACCTGTTAACCAGACCAGTCAGTTAGTGGGCAATAATATACAACATGATAATGAAGACTGTTGGATTGTGAGGAGGTAACATGCCATGAATTCATTTTCTGACCCTGTACCCTACTTGCTCTAATACCTACAGTACATGTATGAGACACAAAGAGGATGTCTGGGCACTCTGGCAGAATGCTTGTAATACGTTCTGGATATTCCAGAGTAGTGGAACGGCAGAAATGTGGGGTTATTATAGCTGTTCAAACTGTTCATACTGTGGAATAGGGTCAATCAAAAGTTTCCCTCTGAGACTTGGGTCCCAATTTTCCTATGAAACGTTTTGTCTGGGTCATCTTGAAAGAAGTCTTCATAACATACTGTTACAGGCAGTGTAGTTACTTATGGAAAGCATGAACTATTCTATGGGACATGTAACAATATACACACACTCACTTTAACAATAACAGGTTATGTAAAGATCAGGTTGCTGCTATTATTCTGTACCAATTACAACTAAAATTGTTTTGTCATGTTCTGTAATGTTGTACTGTTAACTTCACTGCTGCAACAGTAAAAACTTTCCCACAAGCCAACCATTGGTTACAAAGGAAATATCAAACAAGTTTGCTATTCCAGTGCCAACCCCTCTCCACTAAAACACCCTCATGCTTAACATTGCTAGGCACATAACTACTTAACAACAATATTATCAGATTACAAGCTCAAGATCTCTATTTAAACAATAGAGTGTTCATGTCTCTGAACTATCGGCTGATAGTTGCCTCTTGGAAATTTGATGTTCTTAAAACAAATATTTGCCAAGAAGCAAAGTTTCGAGAGCAAATATGCTAGTTTAGTTCTGAAACATAAACACTGTATTGTCTTTATTGCTCACCACTAAATTTTCCTCCATGCGCCAGTTCAAAAATCAGATTGAATTATTTTCAACTCTTTTAGATGAAAGCCATGAGAGCCAAACGTAAAATGTAAAAAGGAAAATAAACAAAACCCAGTTAATACAATTTCAATTGTTTATTTTTTAATAAGCTTGCTTGTTTACAGAAAATTTATCACAGACGAGTACTGTCCATCCAGGTATTTTCCTGGGACAGGCACTATGGGCTCATAGTGTCTCTCCGCGGATGAACACTATCACATCATGTGATCAGTTTAAAACAATGAGAATCAGCGAAAATTTAGTGGTGAATGAGACTAAAGGCCAAATCAACTATCACCTCATAGAAAACTGAGAACAAATAATGTAATTATTTTTAATTAGAAGAATTATTACTACATTTCCTTTAAAATTTTTAAGACGAATCATTTCTCAATGCAGTATTCAACTTCATGCTACAGTGTAAATAGCAAAATTGCATGGATTGAATTGTTATTCGAAACTTACAGCTGTGCATACACACTCATTGGTGCATTAAAAAATTTTCAGGTTTTTAAATTGCATAACGGTCAGTTTCCTTTCTTTAGTGTTCTTCAGAGTTAAATTATCCAGTGATAAATCTTCCTCAAAACATTAGAGAAAGTAGAAAACCAAGCCATTATGCCCCCAGGGGAAATCCCATATAAAAAAGAAGGGGTGCTCATCAGATATTCTGAAAAAAAAAAAAAAACATATGAGGTACCAAGATCCTGCTTTGTGGGCATGGCTTAAAATTTTTTCACCCCTAAGTGGTACTAATTGCAATTAAAACAAGACCTTTTGCTTCTAATACCAAATATCTCCTGTCATACTTATTTCGGCTCAGTACCCTAAAGGGTACCGAGAAAGCTCCTGCAGTGCTGTGGACCATCTAAGGTTGAAGAGCCTAAGAGGCACCAAAACTACTTTTTAACCCTTAAAAGGTATGACCAGCACCCCCATCTTCTTTGTATGGAATTCCCTCCCCACCCCCCAGACATCATGTCAACGACAGTACATCTAGCCACTACACTCTAATGGCTGATAGTATACGAGTAGCTCAGCCAATCAGATTACAGCATTTGCATTAGTATACCAGAAGAATTCTACTATAGCAAATTAGTTTTTTTGAAAAAATCCTGTAGCTCACATGCTGCAGGTAGCATTCTTACCAGTTCTCTGTCTAGGTGCGGTAACCTTTTTCCTTTAAACTATACTTATAATAAGCTTCATGAAGCTTTTATAAGCCATCTCAACTGTTTAATAAATGCAACAAGAAGAAATAATAAAGCTTACCGACTTAACTCATGTAAATGTGAAGATGTTTATCAGCGTCTTATCAGTTGTTTAAATGATTACTTAGTTCCTCACGCTAACAAACTCAGTTCTCATGCTCAGCATATGAAGAGTGGTACATGAAATGTTGCAGGTAAGCAAGAATTTCATAAAATTTACTCCAAGGCGACTTACCTGGTCGTGTAAAGTTATTCAATTGATGAACAAGGCGAAGGATTGCGGAGGACCAAGCGGCCATATTGTCGCCAAAACAGCGGTTCTAGATCGGGTCCAGTCCTCAGTGTACGCAGACGACTGTGCCACGTTCAACCATGTGATCGTGATGGTCTTGGTTACAGTCCGTCTT